AGTATATGAATACGTACTGAATACCTATCGTTTTAAAAAATGAGGATAACTAGTATCCAATCCATAGAGTTATAAAACTATCAATCATAACTTCAGGGGTGAAGGGCGTGGAATGATTTGCGAGGCTATCATTGAAAACGAAAATGTAAATAAGAGACTGTGTGAAGGAGTGACTAGAAAATTAAAAGAATAATCCCGACGAACGGAGCTGGGAGAACAACCCACCCGGGTTTCCCTCTTGGTAGGATGTCTAACAGCCAAGTTCTAATGAGTAAAAAGAAGAAAAGATATGACATATAAGAGTGAAGAGTACATGTTAATGATAAAAAGAAAGGAATGATTCGTTTCGCCTCTTAATCATACGAATCATTGTAACCTTCATTCCCTGAGGCTTCTTCAGTGATTGGGAATGAATGCATTGTGATGTCTATCATATGTCACCAGATGTTACAAGGGAGTAGTGAAAGTATTGGATCAAGACGTTAGTAGACATGTATCAAAGAGTAACACAAGGATTGCAAATTGCATATTAGGAACTAGGATGCGTCTCAGGTAGGTGTACGGTAATAAAATACTCAGTATTGGATACCGTAACAGATACGGTATTAGTTACTAAGTGTAAAATTGGTATTCGAGCAGATTAGTCGTTAAGAGGGGACAAGGTTAAGGAGAAGAACAATGAGTAATAAGAGATAAGGGAGGAGAGTATGTGCTTGAGATGGAGATAAAGGTTGCTGTGATCTAATGCTTAGAGATAAAGTTATTCGAGTATTCTTGTAACCAATTTTCTGATATTATTGATATTATTATTTATTGCAAATTTATAACTAATGAACTTGTTTTTATAAATACTTTTAATGATGTTAGTAATTATAAAGTCTTTTGAGTAGCCGTTATTTATCATTATTTTGATTAGATCTTTTATTTTTCGTGTATACAGTGTAAATGTAGAACAAACGTTGGCAATCCTTAGTGCTTCGGTATAAATAACTGAAGCTTTATTCTGAAGAGAGATATTGGTTTGGGAATGTGGAAATCTCAGAACTTTGAAATTAAAATCGTCCGTTTTATTATACAAGTTGGTAAAGATTTGATTATTTTTTATAGTAATACTAAGGTCTCAGTAGGCACTGGCTACATTAGTATTGGTTTTTGTAAGTTCTAATGCATTTTCTAATGCATTTCTATATCAGATTCTTTTTGATTGTGTATAACAAGTAAATCATCCATATATCTGAATGGGATGAATAGTTTATTTTTATTCGAACTTGTGATTAATTGCATAATTGTATTCCATTACTGAGAGGGTAAGATCAGCTAAGCAGGGGACTGAAATTACCTACCTTGTGGTACTCCTTTCTTTTGTTTGTATATCTTATTGTTGAACATACAATAACTATTATTTATAAAATGGGTTTCAATGTTCTTTCTTTTTCTATAACTTCTTCAAGAACTTCTTCATAAGTCGTACTCTTGCGGTTGATTTCCTTCTTTGTATTTCCTCTATTCAATCTATTTTTAGTGATTCTAAGTGCAAAGTATGGTGGTTTTCCCTTTGAAGTAATGGATTATTGATGTTCGAAATATTTCCATATCCTTTAATGTTGTCGTTGAGCCCAAATGGGTAAGCTGTCATAAGGAGTTTAATCCAGAACAATTCTTTTTCTATCAAAACCTTTTTGTTATTTGTGTCTATGGCGTCTAGTATATTGACTTTTATTCCTTTCTTACACTCCCTAAAATGATTATATATTAAAGTCTGTTTTTTGTTAGTTGTAATGTTAGTAAGGTGTTCTCCTATTCTGTAAACAGTGTTTAGGTCCTATTAATTACTTTTCTCCGTTCCTGTCGATCATACATGATCATTCATGTGTGTAAACATGAACAATCGCGCTGTGCAATAGGAGAATGTCAATTTTTCTTTTTTAATGGTGGTTTTCGCGCCGTAACCGTTGGATAGAGGTAAGTTATCTTAGTTTGTCATTGACACACAACTGCTAATGAATCTTTTTTTTTCGATTTGTTTGCTTTCACCATCGCTTTGTTCTGCTTTTGATCGGTTAGTGTTTTGATTTCGAGACTGGTTTTTCGTACCGAGAACCCGCGTTTTAGGCGGGGGGGGGGGCGTTTTGCGTTTTCTTCAGCATGATTGACATGATTTTCACCCTAGCCGGTAGAGTACGATGGAAGAATTTTCCTTTGCTGGGCACTGTAAGCTGCTTCTTGTGGAGACTTCTGGGCCTAGAACCCCTCCGTCTTGCCTCAAAGAGGGACTGGCTCTCGGCACTTCATCCCAACCTGGGCTCTGATTGTGAGCAATAATTTCTTCCGTTGAGGGATCCTGCCATGTATGCTGCGGAGAGGTCTAAGGGCCGCTCTATGATGACCTTCCTCAGGATTTTTTCGGTAGCCGCTTTGATTGCTCACTTCTTCCTGTAGAACATTGCTTATCCAGGAGCAGATGTGCACACACAACTGACGATGAGATGAGCAGCGATTATGATATTATTTCCACAACCTTTTCCAAGCAATCGGAGATGGCTATACATTCAGCAAAAATCTTGTTCAAATAATTCTATCCGTTTTGTCGGCTGAGGATAACGTTCTTTTGTAGCTGGGTAGAAATTGGAATGTATATAAAAATCCAAACAAAAGAACAATAATAGATTCTCAAGATGATCGTTCCATTTGAATCTTCTTTTCCAACAAATTCGACACATTTTTGTCTACTACTTTGAAGGAACGAAATCCAATTATGGTTATTAACTTTAAAGGAGGACACCACAATATGAAAGAATGTCGAAGAAGGGAAAACTTACTTAGTGGAGGGACAGGTGGACCCGAACCAACACGCAGTTCTAGTATGCCAAGCAATCAGAGACTGAATCAGTATGAGATGTCTGATATTCAGCAAACAATGCCATTGTTCAACCGCATCGAAGGATATGCCCCCAGCGATCGAGCATGGCCTTTTCTTTGGCGATAACAACATGCAACAGTTTCATTGTTAGGACAGATGCGTAATGATAGTTCCTAAGGCCAATGTAATAAACCCCTATCATGTACCACCTCATCGCGGTGATAGGGTGTAACACCATCGATATATGTAAGTGGTGGCTAACGGTACAAACGGCTACGCAGTACGCATTACTGTATGTGTATGGGCGGCTCTTTTGTATCCCTAGCAAGGAACAAGGGAGTAACCAAGCCAACCAAATTGCTCAAACAGCTATACTAGAGCCCCAGTCCTGCGCACACCGGATGAGCTCCCCTCCGACATGGGGCCAGCCTCTCCTGGTGAGGGGCCATCCAATCCCGCACAAGCGGGACAGACGCTGAAGAATAAGAAGAAGAAGAAGAAGAAGAAGAAGAGAACTATACCTCGATAGATGATATAACGGAGTCCTTCACGGGAAAATCATGATTCTATTTCAGCCATGAATCACTGGCTTGAGACTCATCATCCACGATAAGAATGAAAAGAACAGAAAAATTGTTGTTTTGGTAAAAATTCGAAAAACGAAAGGGCTGCTACGCGTTCAAAGTACCCCCGGACGTCTTGTCACAAATGCTGGCGACGGGATGCTTCCACTTGGTTCTTGGAGTGCCTTCACTAGAAACTCTTTCTGGCCTTCTGACTTATTGCATTCACATCTCACACTTCTACTCCATCCTATTCTATCGATCGATTTGTCTCTACTCTCCAAAATCGCACGCTTTAACCCGATTCTTTCATTGCGTCGCCTGATACGTAGCCGCCCAAGCGGACTTCTTTCCATCCATGCCCCGCCTTTTACCTTCGATTGTCCATAGTCATAAGTGTAGTTTTTGTACGTTTGTTTCTCTTCGGAAACCGAATCTTCATGCGTGAAACTTTGTGTGCTATTTCCAGTGATCACAACTGACACATTCATGTTGAGAAAGAGTGCAAGAATTTTCCGCGAAGGATTCCTTCAACCAACATCATGGCTCCGCTACCAAGCATGCGGTTCAACAGGGCGATAAAATACTTTTGTCACTCACGATTTTTTATCTGTGAATGTGCAGCATGCTCCTATTGTAACGTACTCGAAGGATCCACGAACTGCCATTGGTGTCGCAACAACCGCACCTAACGAACTTGTGCAAATAACGACGTTAAGAGTAGAGTGAACCACTGCAGGAGAAGGCGGTTTCTCGGTATCCGCACTTCTTCGTTATAAATATGTGATTTGTTACCGTAATCGAACACTCCGCAAGGCTTATCTGCGAGAAATGGTGGAATACTACATAAAGTAGACAGTAGACTTCAGTCAATCGAACACCGAGCACACATCAAACAAAGCGCGCGCTTGATGTTTGTATGACTCGTTTAACAATGGAGCCAGAAAGAGAAATTTTCAGTAGCACAAAAAAACGAAATGTCTATTAATCACCGGTTCCACAAATAGACTGGCTATTGAAATTCATAGTATGTACATATACGAAAGGCATAAAAGTGCAGAAGACCCATAGCAATTCACTCATTTCTGGCTTCCTCCAACTCGGCTTTACACCAGCAACCGTAACGGATGAAACTGCTGCCCCTCGTTGCAGTGCTTTTGGTTGTGAATTTCGGGGAAGGAGCTCCTGACCCCAGATGTTTACGTACCACCACTCTAAGATGGAAGAAATTCGCAGAATATATACCGCGCCACTATCAGCTGTATCTTGAAGATACACTGCAGATGAGATTTGTACGTTCATCGGAATCTTTCCTTTTCTCAAAGATCACAGTGATAGAAGCACAAAACTCATTATAGAACGTTAAAGATCTAGTCATAGGATATAAAGTGGTTCTTGACACCACTCGAAATCGTCGTCCGGGCTACATTTTTGCCTGTATTCTTTCATATCGTAAGGTACGTTTTATGCACAGGTGGGTTACGAAATTGAACTATGGTGGCTACGATCTTTCAAGATTAATTCTCATGAGAACCAGTAACGATCACTTGATGTTTTCAAACACCAAGCATAGTTCGATTTGATAATATCGCAAATTGCAGGACAAGCACCAGCCCGTCTACCTTAAATTCCTTTCGTCGGAAGGAACACTTCATCTTCTCAAAATCATATCATCTACCACATTTATGAATGCTTTATACGAATGTAAGGTCAACCGTAAGGGAATTCTTTGATTGGCGAGCTTTAATAAATTTTGGAGAGGGTGACAGTGTTACTGCAGTAGTACTAAGATGGTTACTTGTTCGAATCTCCGCAGCCATTCTTCTACGAATGAAGCAATGGGATTTCAACTGGCTCTCGAGGTGCTCCCACAAGGAACGCTTTTTCGTTTTTATCACCTATGGCAATAAGACTTCGCTTTGCTACTGCACTCTGTTTATAGTTTGTTTTAAACCTATTTTCCAAATTCAAACGCTTCAACACGATTCTTTCAATGTGTCGCCTGACACGTGGCCTCCCCAAGGCGCACTTCTTTCCACGCCCCGCCCTGCGCAATGCGACCTACACTGCGACGCATAATGATACCTCCACTTACAAAATTCCAAAAAAGTTACATCTGGATGTTTTCGGAAAAGGCTCTAGGGAAGAATTGTGACACATATAAACGCAGTTCTGAATATCAACACAAAGTTCCAATTTGAAAACGCTACAACAATTTTTCATCTTCTTTTTTTGAAAATACCGATTGCCTACGATTGCCAAAATCATACAGTACTCGCCGTTTGAAATCGAACATTCACGCGAATAACGCGAATCCTCGTTAGTTTAGTGAATGCGCCACGTACTCAATCTCATCCACTACATTGTGAGATTAGATG